AAAAAAATTTTAAAAATTTTTTAAAAAGCTTCCCACATAAGATAAGGAACAAGACAAGAATGTCCATTCTCACCACTTATTCACTGGAGATTCTAGCAAAGGCAATTAGGCAAGAGAAACAAATTGGAAAAGAAGTAAAACTATCCTTATTTGCAGGTGGCATGATTAGTGTATAAAAAATTCAAAGGATCCATGTAGAAATTACTAGAGCAAATAAATTCAGCAAGATTGAAGGATAAAAAAGCAATCAATAAAAATCAGTTTTAATTCTATATACTAGCAATGGACAATTCAAAAATGGAATTAAAATAATTCTGTTTACAGTAATATCACAAGAATAAAGTACATAGGAATGTAAATTCATTGTTAAATTACAAAAGAAGTACAAAGCTTACACTCTAAAAATTCCAAAACATCATTGAAAGAAAGGAAGGAAGACTTACATCATTGGGTATTTGAGGTTTATGAATATGAAGAGTTAAGACGGCAATACTCCCCAGATTGATTTACAGGGTTAAAATCCCTGTGAAAATCTAAGTTGTCTTTTTGTGCATACATTGATAAACTGATCCTAAAATTCATATGGGAAATGCAAGGGTCCCAAAATAGCCAAAACAATCTTGAATCTTAACTTTGTTAAGTTGGAGGACTCATACTTCCTAATTTCAAAGCTTACTACAAAGCTATAGTAATCAACTGTGTGGTACTGGCATAAGGATAGACATACAGATCAGTGAGAGTTAACAGGTAAACCCTATGTTTAAGGGCAGTTGATTTTCAACAAGGGAGCCAAGATAATTCAATAAAGAAAGAAGATTCTTTTCAACAGGTGGCGTTGGAATAACTGGGTATGTACATACAAAACAGTGAAGTTGGACTCCTGCCACACACCATATATAAACATTAACCCTAAATGGATGGAGACCTAAATATAAGAGATAAAACTATAAAATTCTTAGAAGAAATGTAGATGTGAGTCTTCATGACCTTTCTTCTGTAGGATATCTAATGCACAAGCAGCCCAAGATAAAATGGATAGATTGGGCTTTATCAAAATTGAAAATATTTGTGCTTTGAAGGATATTATCAAGAAAATGGAAAGACGGCTCAGGGAAATTGGGAAGGTATTTGCAGGTCTTTTATCTGATAAGGGAGTTATATCCCCAATATATAAAGAATGCTTCCAACTCGACAATAAAAAGACAACCCGATTTTTATTTTTTTATTTTTATTTTTTAAAGATTTTATTTACTTGAGAGAGAGTGTGCATGAGCTGGGAGAGTGCTGAGCAGGGAGCCTGACGTGGGGCTCGATCCCATGACCCTGGGATCATGACCTGAGCCAAAGGCAGATGCTTAACCAACTGAGCCACCCAGGCGCCCCAACAACCCAATATTTAAAATGAGAAAATAAAACATAGAGTTAACCTATGATCCAAAAATTCCACTGTGAATTGTATGCTCAAGAGAAAGTATATTCATACTAAAACTTGTACACAAATGTTCATAGTAGCATTATTCATATTGGCCAAATAGTGCAAATAACCCATTGTCCATCAACTGATGAATGGATAAACCAAATACAGTAGATCCATACAATAGAATATTATTCAGATATAAAAAGAAATGAAGTACAGATTTATGGTACAATGTAGATGAATATTGAAAACATTATGCTAAGTGAAAGAAGCCAGACATAAAAGGTTACACATTGTGTGATCCCATTTATGTTAATTGTCCAGAACAGGCAAATCCATGGAGTCAAAAATAGATTAAATGATTGCCAGAGGCTTGTAGGGAAGAGGGGTGGAAGTATGATGGGTATGGGATTTCTTTTTGGTATGATGGAAATTTTCCGGAATTAGATAGTAGTGATTTTGCACACATTTGTAAATATCTTAAAAACCATTGAATTGTACACTTTAGATGGATATACTTATGGTAATGTGAATTGTATCTCAGTGAAAAAAATATTTCCTGAATTCATTACTTTTTTTTTTTTTTTTAGCTTGCGCCTAGAAATGTAAAGCCTTGTTTCCTTTCTGTCTCATCTACATCAATCTGTCAGCGATTCCTCTTGGTTATAGATGCAAAATCTATTTAGTCTTACTTCTTTTTTTTTTTCAAAGATTTTATTTATTTATTTGACAGAGAAAGACACAGCGAGAGAGGGAACACAAGCAGGGGGAGTGGGAGAGGGAGAAGCAGGCTTCCCGCGGAGCAGGGAGCCCGATGTGGGGCTCGATCCCAGGACCCTGGGATCATGACCTGAGCCGAAGGCAGACGCTTAATGACTGAGCCACCCAGGTGCCCCTACTTCATTTTTTTTTTTAAAGATTTTATTTATTTGAGAGAGAGAGAGAACAGGGGGAGGAGCAGAAGGGGAGGGAGAGGGACAAGCAGATTCTGCCCTGAGCGTGGAACCAGACATGGGACTCAATCCTAGGACCCGGAGATCCTTCTTTTTCTATCCGTGCCATCCCAGTGGTCCTAGACACCATCATTCCTCATCTGTTCCAGCTACTTCCTTGATCCTTCTGCTTCCAGTCCTGCTTTACCTCCTCCCCCACCTCCCACCAATTTATTCTCCGAAAATGGCCAGAAAGAATTTCTTCAAAAATTACATGTGTCATGGTATTCTCCTGCTCAAAACTCTTGAGTAAAATCCAGACCCCCTAAGTGACTTAAAATGCCAGTGTGATAGGCCACGTACCTGCCTGTCTACCTTCATCTCCTACCAAGCTCCCCACCTTTACTAACATCATGTCACCTTAGCTCTTTTCTGCTTAAACCAGCCAAGGTCTTTCCTGCCCTGCGACTTCTGCACACTCTGGGCCTTCTGCCTGGGACCCCTTCCCCTACTATTTTTGACATGGCTGGCTCCAGTCTTCCTTAAGCGTCATCCCCTCAATAGAACCTCTGTGGCCGTTCTTACTGAAAAAAACAGTCCTTTAACTCATTATCTCCATCTCAGTCCTGTTTATTTCTTAAGTAGCACTTATTGCAATTGGTGTTTTTTAAATTAATGTTTGTTTACCCTTTTCGTGGTAAATCTGTTTCCCTCACCAGACTTTCAGCCCGGGGCCATATTGATGTGGGTCATCATTGTTTCTGTGGTGTCTAGTACACCACATGTCATAAGTGTTCGATACGTATTGCTAAATGACTGAAAGAATTAGATCTTTTTGTAAAAATCCCCAGAAACTTAATATTTCTTAATTTAGCATTTTAAGGTAGATATTCCTTCTTCCACAAATATATTTTTAAAAATTAAATAAGACAGGCCCCCAGATTGTCCCCCAAGAGACTTCATTATTATTACTGATGCTTTCTCTCTGAGAAAAATTCTGCCTTCATCTCTTGCCATTTTTATTATTGATGGTAAATTTGTTTTTGTTCTCTGTGTAGAATGATAGCTGTTTCGGTACTTCAGGTGGGATTCGTCCTTTTCACCTTCAAAACTGGAAGCAGAAAGTTAGTCGGACAAAGAAAGCAGAGTTCATGCGCACAGCAGAAAAATTAAAAAATCAGTAAGTATAAGAACATTATCTTCAATTAACATTACTAGCCGTGTTTTTGTGGACAGTATGGAGTTAATTCTACTCTACCCTCTCCAGTCCACATTAAGTTACAAAATTCTAGTCACTGACTTTCCCGAGATGAATGAGAAAGGCAGGGGTATGAAAAAGACAAATGATAACAGACTATTTAATATAAAGTTTTAAGTAGAGTTATTTTCACATATTATTTTGAATCTGTGTTTTAAGGGAAACAAAACAGTTATTTCTTTAGATCACATACATCAGTACATTTTCATTGCCCAACGTAAGCACTTGGTAACTATTTTTGAGGGTGTCAGTAGTTTTAATGAAGAGTCTGTATCCTCAAGTTATTTTTCTTGAAATGGCCTTTTAATTGATCTCCCTCCCTTGGTCTCCCCTTTCAGATCTGTCTTGCACATCATGACTAGAGTAACTGAGAAGTTGCCATTTATTTTAACTTTTAGTGTATGTGTATTTTTTTTCTTTTAATAGCCAGTGATATCTGTTGAATGTTCAACATTGTCAGCAGCACCATGATATGATAAATATTGTGCAGGATGATCAAAAGCATTAGAACTCATACCACCCGACCCTACCCTGCAGCTGAGAGCTTTTTACAAACACTGCTTTGAATTTGTACAATATCAATTTGCTAAAGAAATCAGGAGAAATGGAGCCTGTTGTAAGGAATGGTCTCAAGCCCTGGATTAGTGGCAGTTCTGTTTAGAAATTCTGCCAACAAAAAAGTATACTGTTTAAATTGTGAAACGTTATACCATACTGTAGCTTTGGGAGATTGAATGCTCTCCACATTGATATAATACTTATATTTTTAATACTCAGAATTTGGGAAAATACAATTTTATTTTATTTTTTATTTTGAAAATGCATGACTTTAGGTAGGACTGGACTGTAGGTTAGTGTTCTGGCTTATGTTTGTCCCTAGATAGGTAATCAGCCAAGTGGTTAATGGCCATGTCTATAGCAAACCAGTAGATTATGGTGGTGTAGAGCCTTTCTTTACCAGTATATATTGGTTTTACAGCTCTGATTAGGCTTTCTTCATCTTGTTATAAAATTTTGGAAAAACTCATGGAAAGAGTATTAGAAAAACCCGTTAATAGAGTGTCTCTGGCCAACAATTTTCATTGAATACAAAAAATCACAGTTCAGAATATAATTCTGGGTTTTTTTCAGTATAGGTAATAATATATTCACATGGTTCAAAAATCAACACACATTGAGGGGTGCACAGTGGAAAGTCTCTGTTTCACCCCGGGCCCCCGCCACCCACTTCTCTTCCCTTCAGATAGCCACTATTTTTAGTTTCTTTTGTATCCTTCCACAGGATTTTTATACGCTAGGAGAAAAGAAAAATACATATTCAGATTTTTCCTTTTTTATATAAATGGGAGCATACTGTACACACTACTCTGCATCTTGCTTTGTTTTGTTTTATTTTTAACTTAAGAGTATACCGAGGAATTGTTGATTTTGTCAGACAGGATCATGGCATTATAGTTAAGTATCCATAATCTCCAGAGATGCACACTCAGGTATGCTGGGGTGAAATTATATAATGTAGTGGATTTACTTTAGAATGCTTTAGTAAAAGGGAGAGAGAAAGAGAGATTAAAAAGGAGAAGAGCTAGGTGAACCGAGAGAGGTCTAATTGTCAAGCAAGAGTGGTGTGAGGGTACATAAGGGGAGTCACTCGATCACTCTCTACTTTTGGTTGTGTGACTAACATCTTCATATAAAACCTTTGTTAGAAGAAGAGTGTATCTCGGGAGCTCTTTCCCTGTCAGCACACAGAACCTGGTACTGCTTCGCTGTATTCCAGGGCGTGAATGCACCGTAATTTATGTAACCTGCCCCGTAGTGATGGACATTTAGGTTATAGTCAATCTTTGGCCATAATGAATCACAGTACCTACATAGGTCCACGTCATTTTGTGTATGTGGTGGTGCATCTTTAGGAAAAATTCCTAGAGGTAGAAATGCTCAGTCAAAGGCACATGGGTTTGCAGATGTAATAAATATTGCCAAACAGTGCTCCACAGGCAATTTGCAATTCCACGAATAATGTGTGAGAGGACCTATTTCCCCACAGTTTTGTCAACAGAATATGTATTTACACTTGTGATTTTTGCCAGTCTGATAGGTGTACGATGTTACTGTGGTCTAGTTTTACTTTGCATTTCTCCTATTATGAGTGAGGTTGAGCATCTTTTCCTGTGTTTAGCTATTTGTCTCCATTAGTACATTTTGAATGTCTTTACAGGTGAATATTTCTAATCCAGGCATCACAAAGCATAACTTACCGTCCTAGCATATTCCCTGTACATGTAGACATTTCTGTCTGACCCTATAATTTCCCTCACCTGCAACCAGAGCCTAGATGGGCTTCCCAGTCCTCAGCACAGGACTCCAGTAGCCATGCTCAGTCCTTAAGACTTGATATGTAGACTGAGATCTATTTGACAGCTCTGTCCTACCCTTTGCTTCCTCTCCCAAGCCCACATACTACGGTATGATCTTCTTAGCCTTTGAGGCAGCCAGGTAGGGCCCAGGGCAGTCCCATCTGTTTACCCCACTGAACTTTATAAATACTGACTTTTTTTTATGGATGGCAAATTGGAAAATATTGGGAAACTCTCTCTTAGATAGTCACCCCTCAGGTTGTATGAAATTAAGTCAATGGCCTGAGACGTTCCACCATTCATTAAATACAGGATTCCTGGAGAAGAATTTGTGTTGATTTCTGGAAGAAGAAAATAAATTTCTTTGTCCAACCAGAAACTCTTCTTGCTAGTATCTGTTTTGTCTTACCCCAGGGTTCAAGCTAACATTAGAACTCCTTACTGGTAGATGGACTAGATCCAAGAAGCAAAAATGACACAGAAGAAGCTTTGAAGTCCTTGTAGATGATATCCCTAATTATACCAAAATTCCTGTCTATGTAGATCGTTTGCTTCTTGAAATTTTAGTTTTATTAATTACGTTAATACACATTTCTGTAGTACATAGTTACTACGTGGAGGTGTGCCCTCATATAATTTAATCACAGCCCTGCTTAGGTAGTAGAGAGCTGCCATTACTCACATTTTAGTGAGGAGGAGGTTCACCCCAGGAGAGGGGAAAGGTCTTGGCTCCGTTTACAGACTAACTGTATCTCCTGTGGAAGGCAGCCGTCAGCAATGGTGGCTGCTTTGAGGCCACAATGAGACTGAGTTGGAATCAAGAGCCAAATTGCTATTGTATTTTCAAAGCCAGTGCATGACTGCCTTTTCTGAAACTCACATTTTGTAATTTAAACAGCAATTCAAATTACTCATGATTATAGTTGAACTTGACTCTTTTCTAACTACTACTTTGACTCCTTAGCCTTATTAATTCTCGTAATTATATTTGGGCTCTTTAGATGAATTAATCCATCCATAAGTACTGATTATAATGAGTGTCTTCATATTTTAAACAATTAAAAATATATTTAAATCACATTGATGCCATTTGTTTCTTTTCCTAAAGAGTTATTAACATAGAAAAAGATAAACACAGTCATTTCTGCAACCAAAAAAGTGACTTCAGAAGTGAGCATAGTATGCTGGAAGAATTGGAAAATAAATTGATTAACAGCAGGAAAACAGAAAGTAAGTTGAGTTCATGATGAGCTACAAACTGTTGAGTGACATCAAGTTGTAGTTGTTTTGCTTTGTCTTTGTGCTTTGTGTTATATTCTCCATTAAAATACTTTCTAGTTGGTAATAAGTCTGTCTTTTAGGGATTTGTATCTCTTTTTTCAGGTCACTATTTGGTCATTCGAAATGGATTGTTTTCTATGTACATTTCTTTGTCTTTAAGAGGAAAAAGAGGGTTTTGTTTTTTGGTTGCCAAACCAATTAATGCTATTAAAATTTCTTAAAATGAAGGGAAATCGGTTCCTGGGCTTTCCAGTCTTAGCTCATCACCCTGGTATTGTTGACTGAATAGGTCAACATCAGTGGAGGCAGAAGCTAGATTTCGTAGTGGTATGAAGTGGGGAAGGCACACAGCTGCTCAAACCCGAGTTCACTTGTCTGTGATAGAAAACCTACCATTTCCGCCTCAGGGGAGCGGTCTGTGCATCCAGTGAGGTAATATATGTGAAAGTACCCTATAAAGTGCACAATGAATATGTTCTGTTGTTGGTTACAGATATTCATCATTGTTAACAGTGTACTAAATGTTGCCCTTAAGAAAAGGATTCTGTAAAAATATATTGTTTTGTTGTAGATTTTATATGTTGCAAAATTTTTATGTTAGAATGAAAAAAACTGCTTAGCATTACATAAAGGAAAAATAATGGTTATCAGCTAAGCCTTATGAACTGTTAAGACTTATATAAAAATTACACTGCCTCTACTCCTTTATAGTCAGTTAAAAGAAATTCTTAATAAATGCTTTCTTTCAGAATATACGACTGTAGTATTGTAAAAAGTCATCTTCTGTCAGGTAGTGGCAAGAATCATTCTTCCTCTTCTGTTGGGATGACAGCAGGACCTAATATAATTACCAAATGTCCAGTTCTCCTCTTTGATTTATGGAGACATCTAAACATCCCTAGTTTAATATTTTTTACTTTCTCTCAGTTCTTTAATAGATGACTAAGAAACTGATCTCTTTTTTTTTAAAGATTTTATTTATTTGTTTGTTTGTTTATTTATTTATTTTAGAGAGAGAGCAAGAGTGTGAGCAGGGGGAGGGGAGGAGGGAGAGAAAGAATCTCAAGCAGACTCTCCGCTGAGCCAGAATCAAGAGTCAGACCCTTAACTGACTGAGCCACCCAGGCGCCCCGAGAGTGATCTTTCTATCTCTTGATCATGCCATTGTCGGAGCGTCTCCCTTCTGTGCATTCCCTTTTGTAAGGCAACTTTATTTCTGTCTTTTCATTTCCCATTATTGTACAGTTTCGCCTCTCTTTATTCACACTTGGTGTTCATCTTATCTAGGAGAGGAAGGAATGCGCTGTCCCAGTATAAGTTTTTAGACGTTTCTTCTTGCCATATTACAACTTAGAAGTAGTAAATACCTTTTCCTTGCCTCAAATATCATACCACAATTTTGGCCTGTGTTTATGTAATACTGTACTTAAAGGTTGGCCCATACATACTGTCAGTTCCAAATGAATAATTAAGGGATCATTTGCCCTATCGCAGTATCACTGCAATTGATCAAACTGTGACAAAAACAAAATAACAGAACTGTTTCCTACTTACTACACTTCGCTAGAGAAGTTGCCCAACCTACATTTCCAACAGTGAATGAATGAAATCCTATAAAATACATTGGACATGTTTCTGCTTTTATGGAACTCTTGAATTTTAATAGAAAGCAGAACAAATCCTGGGGCATCTGGCTGGCTCATTCGGAAGAGCATGCAACTCTTGATCTCAGGGCTGTGAGTTCAAGTCCCACATTGGGTGTAGAGATTGCTTAAATAAATAAATAAATTACTTTTAAGAAAAAATAGAACAAACCAAAGTCACATATACATGTGTGAGGTTTGTTTTGGATATTAGCACTGGCTCTGGGCCTATAGGTAAACTTAAAAAAAAAA